TTTGCTTACCTACTCAGCCACTATTGCCACACACACACACCACAGGCCGACCAGATCCTGCAGATCCTGCTCGTGACCGGCATCTCGGCACATCTCGGCTCATCTCGGCTCACCTCGGCTCACCTCGGCCTCACCTCGGCCTCACCTCGGCCTCACCTCGGCCTCACCTCGGCGCACCTCGGCCTCACCTCGGCCTCACCTCGGCCTCACCTCGGCCTCACCTCGGCCTCACCTCGGCGCACCTCGGCCTCACCTCGGCCTCACCTCGGCTCACCTCGGCCTCACCTCGGCCTCACCTCGGCCTCACCTCGGCTCACCTCGGCTCCACCTCGGCTCCATCTCGGCCTCACCTCGGCGCACCTCGGCGCACCTCGGCGCACCTCGGCGCACCTCGGCGCACCTCGGCGCCCCTCGGCCGCAGGCGAACCAGATCCTGCAGATCCTGCTCGTCACCGACATCTTCCGCAAGTTTGACGTTGAGTCGATCGTCGACGTGCTCTCCGCCATCGCGGCGCGGTCTGAGCCATCCATTCACCATTGCGATCGTCGTTGTTGTTTGGAGCAGGTGCTCTCCGTCATCACGACGCGGTCGTACTCCGCCGGCGAGCCGGTCTGCAACGCGGGGGGGCGGGGGCGGGTGAGTTAGCAATCCGTGCGAAAATGACGAAACAGGCGAGCCGATCTGCAAGGCGGGGGACGAGGGCCGCTTCCTCCGCATCGTCAAAGCGGGAATAGTCATGTACGAGCGCGACGGCGCGCGGCCCTTCGAGCTGCGCTACTGCGACTACTTGATCAATGGTTCACTGTTAGCTGTGATTCATTAAGGCGCGCGGCCCTTCGAGCTGCGCTACTGCGACTACTTTGGTGAGGGGGAGCTGGCTCACCGACGCGCGCATCGAATGCTAATCAAGAGTCATGGCTCAATCTTCACAGGCGAGGGGGAGCTGCTCACGGACGCGACGCACGCCGCGTCCGCCACCGCCGCCACTCGCGTCGAGGTTCGCCTTAATTAATTAATCACCGCCTCAATTAATTAATCACCGCCTTAATTAATTAATCACCGCAGCCACTCGCGTCGAGGTGCGCCTTAATTAATTAATCACCGCCTTAATTAATTAATCACCGCCGCCACTCGCGTCGAGGTGCGCCTTAATTAATTAATCACCGCCTTAATTAATTAATCACCGCCTTAATTAATTAATCACCGCCGCCACTCGCGTCGAGGTGCGCCTTAATTAATTAATCACCGCCTTAATTAATTAATCACCGCCGCCACTCGCGTCGAGGTGCGCCTTAATTAATTAATCACCGCCTTAATTAATTAATCACCGCCGCCACTCGCGTCGAGGTGCCGCCGCCTCCTCCTCCTCTCGGCTACCTCTCGGCTGCCTCTCGGCTACTCTCGGCTACCTCTCGGCCACTCTCAATCTCAGGTGCTCGAGATCGAGCGCGGCGACGTGCAGTACCTCTTCCGCCGCCGCCCCAACCTGATGGCCCGGATACAGCAGCGCGCCAAGCTGTCGTAGGACCTTTCCTGGACCTTTCCTGGACCTTTCCTAGGCCCGGATACAGCAGCGCGCCAAGCTGTCGTATGACGCGTCTTGGGCGGCCATCGGCGCGAACTCCGTCTTCAGCGGCTTCTCGATGGCTCAGGCGGCGCTTCCACGAGATTGCCCGAGCTGACACGAGATGGCCCGAAATTCTCCCACACCTCCCACACACCCCGGACACCCCACAGACACCTTCCAGACACCAGCCACACGCACCCCTGCTCGGCGGCGCAGGTGACGCAGCTGCAGTCGGTCATGCGGCAGCACGAGGTGGGGGAGGGGGAGGTAATATGGCGAAAGGGCGACGAGGTGCTCGACGTTGTCTTGGTGGGCGACGCGCGCCTTGCCTACCGCGAGCTGGCGGACGTGCGCGGCGCGACGAGGGAGGACGGGGAGCATAGAAGCGGAAGCTCTCCCCATATCTCCCCCCGTATCTCCCCGTATCTGGCAGCACGGAGCCTAGAAGCGGAAGGAGGACTCTTGTGCTCCAACTAGCGCTCGAGAGGACGCGCACTCAACTGTGCTCGGCCCCTCGTATTCACGCGGTGTTCTCAAGACACACTGCACGATACCATATCCCCGAGGTTGGCGTGATAACAACGTAGGACCTGGAGCCGTTCGGGCCGGGCGCGCTACTCGTCAACGTATACGCGCTCGAGAACCGGCTCCGGCACGAGAATAGTTCATTCACAGTTCATTAATAGTCCATCAATAGTCAATTCATAGTCGGCTCCGGCACGAGCATCGCCCGCCGCAGAGAGCCAGAGACGCGCCTCCCGTCGGGAGCGTGTGACCCGTGACATGTCCGCCCCTCCCCCCCCCCCGCAGGCATGAGCTCACCCTCACCGCAGAGAGAGCCGGTGCCGCCGCGCCTCCCCCCCCAGCCCTCCTACCCCTCTGGCCCGCCGCCCCTGACCCGCCGTGGTGCCTCCCCCCCCTTCCCCCCCCTCCCCTTCCCACTCTGACCCGCCTCCTCTGATCCGCCGCCGTGCCCCGCCTCCTCTGACCCGCGTCCGCGCCCCTCCCCCGCAGGCACAATCTTCCACGTCATCGGCGAGGACCTGCTCGACTTTCTGGACAACAACCCCGGCGCCTTCATCTGGATGCGAGACACGCTCGTCGTCTGCTGACGCCGCCCGCCCTCGGCGCGGGCAGGCGGCGGGCGGCCCGGAGACGAGACGCATCCAGAGTACGGCGAGAGCGGGACACACGCGACGGGAGGTGTGACGCGGTTACATTGAGGGGAGTTGTCACGGGTGTGTGTGTCGAGCGAGAGGTAAGGAGGTAACCTGTTTAAACGCGCAAAAAAACAAGAAACATTGGCCCCGCACTCAAGGTTACCCCTAGCCACCCCCCCCCGCCGCCACCGGCGCCGCCCGGCACCGGTCGCCGCGACCGTGCCTCTCGTCAAAGGTGTCGCGCATCAGAACACACTACACAAAGGGTAGGCTATAGGCCGCAAGCCATCTATCTAGCAGCTATCAAACCGGACGGTTACACACAAAAGTAAAACCGCCGATCCATGGCGCGCGTAGCTATGACAGGGACCGCGGCCGCGGACCCGGTGGCGGACGGGGCTGGCGCGCAAGCGCCGGCCACCGTCGTACTGCCGGGGATGCGCAGCGGACCCTGGAATCGCTCCGATCGCGCGCAACTGGAGGACGCGGTGGGTGTCGCACGGTTGTTCGGTGCGTCGTGTGTCAGGCTGATAAGGCCTGGCTACGCGACCATCGAGGTTGACCTGAAGCACGAGAAGGCCGCGGGCGACCGCGAGTCGGTGAAGGTGGCGGAGCGCTCGTACATCGAGCGCACCGCGCCGAAGAAGAAGGAGCTCACTGATGAGCAGCTTGCGGCTCGAACCGCGTCACGCAAGGCCAAGAAGATCCGGCAGAAGGAGCGCCGGGCGAAGGAGGCTGGCGAGCGCGCCGCGAACGAGGCCGAGAACGCGGAGCGCCCGCGCGCGCAGCTGCGCGAGAACATCGAGTACGTGATGGCCGGGCTGCGGTCTGCAGCTGCGCAGGCGCGCAGCCAGGCCGGGTCCAATATAGGAGTCGAATACTCGCTGCCCCCGGAGAGGGACGACGGGTATCGACGCGGCCCCAGCAAGGTGTACGCCACAGTTCCCCAGGGGACCGTGGCGACGACGGTCGCCCCGGACTGGCTCGCGAACGAGCTGGCCGGGCGCGGCAAGATTGATGCGGCATGCCGCGACCGCATGGTCATGCACCTGATGACGGCCGCCGGCGCCTCGGCGCCGGCCGACGCCGTGTTCAGGTTCACGGCTGGCGAGGCAATGCAGACCGAGGACGACGACGAGGACGCCGACCGCTCCGAGGAGTATTCCGACGACGACGGGAGGGCGTCTGACTTGTAGCTGGCCTCACCCATATCTTACCCTCTGCCCCCCCCCTCCTGCTACCCCCCAGGCTAGATGGAGTAGTCACAGATAGCCCCACACAGCCCCTTACCCCGGGTACTACCCCTTCACCCTCGCCTCGCTGTGTTTCTGAACACGTAGACGACCACGCTGTGGGGGTTGTGTTATAGGAGTAGGAGTGGGGTGCAGGTTGCTCACCCACGGCACCGGGCCGGTGCTTGCACTTTGAATGCCGTGGGGCTCCTGCCCGTGTCCGGGCGTGGAGATGCGAGGGTCGCCCCCCCTTGCCCCACCACTTTGTGTGTGTGGAGACGTTTACCTTACCTTACCTAGACCTAGACCGGACGCGGAACCATCCATAGCATCACTGGCTCGCGGCAGTAAGGGCACTCTTGCATCAGCTCAGAGCATGGACCGCAAGCGCACAGGTGCCCGCACGGAACCGCAGCATGCGACTTGACTCTCGCGAAACACACGATGCACGTGGTCTCTCCCCCCATCGTGGACTCGGGGGCAGCCGGCCGCCCCGTGTCGAGGCCGGCGTCCGCTAGTGAGACGGCTGCAAGCGTCTCAGTGACAGGCAGATGCTGCTCCGCCGCCTCTCCCGCCTCTGGCCCGATCAAGCGCTCGATGGCGTCGACCCGCTCCTCGAGGCTGCCCTCGGTCGCCGCGCCGAGGCTCGCCTCCAGCCGCTCGACACGCCGCTGCAAGTCCCCGCCGCCGCCGGTCGACTCGCTGCTCACCGCCTCCTCGCACCGCGACACCCGACGCGCCAGCGCCTCCTCCGCATCCACCTCTGACCGGCGCAGCGCCTCTGCTAGCTCCGCATCCTCGCGCAGCGCCGCCTGCTCTGCCGCACCCGCTAGCTCTGCCGCCTCCCGCTCCGCCCGCCTCGCCGCCTCCTGCTCAGCAGCCAGCCGCGCCGCCTTCTCCTCCTGCTCTCGCAGCTCTGCCGCAGCCCGCGCCCTCCGCTCCTCCTCGAGCTTCAAGGCGGACGGCGCCTTCTTGGCCTTATTGTTCTTCGCCTTGGCCTCCTTCCTGGCCGCCGTTGCCTCCGCCGCCTTTGCGCGCCGCCTCGCCTTCTCCTCCTCCGCCCTCCTGTCCGCAGCCTCCTTGTCGCGCCGCGCCGCCTCTGCCTGAGCGGCTTTGCGCGCCGCCGCGGCCGCCCGTTGCTCCTCTCGCTGCGCCTCCTCCGCCGCAAGCCTCTCCGCCTCCCTCGCCCGCAGTGTCTCCTCTACTGCCGCGCGCTCAGCGGCCAGCTTCGCCTCCGCCTCCGCCGCAATGGCTCGCCTCTGCTCCTCCAGCGCCGCAGCGTCCGCCGTTCGCCGTGCCTCGTTCGCCGCTCGCTCTGCTTCGCGCTGGCGTGCCGCCTGCTCGCGCTCTCGCGCAGCCGCCGCCTCCTCCCGCTCACGCTGCTCGCGCCGCCCCTTGGCCTCGAGCGCCTTCTCGGCCGCCTCCGCCTCTCTCAGCGCCGCTGCGTGCTCTGTGAGAGCGCGCACGCACCCGGCGTGGTCCGTTCCAGGAGCACTTGCGGCGCCGGCAGTAGATAGCACCTTGGCCGCCTCCTCCTTGGCCATCTGCAGCGCGCACCTGCCGTCTGCAGAGCGCGCCTTTGTGTCTGCGCCAGCCCGAAGCAGGCGGAGCACGATGGCGAGGCAGCCGCTGTGGGCGGCGCACATCAGCGCGGTGCCGCCGTCGCTCCTCTGCAGGTTGACGTCAGCACCGTGCCGGATCAGCAAGTCGATCACCCGCTCGTGGCCGTTGCCGGCGGCGTTCATCAGCGCGGTGCCGCCGCCGCTGTTCAGCAGGTTGATCTCCGCGCCGTGCTGTAGTAGCAGGTCAACCACCCGCTCGTGGCCGCTGTAGGCGGCGGCCATCAGCGCGGGGCCGCAGTCGCTGTCCTGCAGGTTGATCTCAGCGCCGCGCCGTAGCAGCACCTCGACCACCCGCTCGTGGCCTTTGTTGGCGGCGAGCATCAGCGCGGTGCCGCCGTCGCTCCTCTGCAGGTTGATCTCAGCGCCTTGCCGAAGCAGCAAGTCGACCACCCGCTCGTGGCCGCTGCAGGCGGCGGCAATCAGCGCGGTGAAGCCGTCGCTGTCCTGCAAATCAACCTCTGCGCCGTGCCGCAGCAGCAGCTCGACCACCCGCTCTTGGCCGTTCTCCGCGGCGTTCATCAGCGCGGTGACGCCGTCGCTGCTCTGCAGGTTGATCTCCGCTCCGTGCCGTATCAGCAAATTCGCCACCCGCTCGTGGCCGCTGTTGGCGGCGAGCATCAGCGCGTTGTCGCCCCCGTTGTTCTGCTGGTTGATCTCTGCGCCGTGCTGAAGCAGCAAGTCGACCACACGCTGGTGGCCGCTGTATGCGGCGTTCATCAGCGCGTTGTCGCCCCCGTTGTTCTGCTGGTTGATCTCTGCGCCGTGCCGCAGCAGCAACTCGACCACCCGCTCGTGGCCGTTCTCGGCGGCGTTCATCAGCGCGGTGACGCCGTCGCTGCTCTGCAGGTTGAGCTCCGCGCCGTGCTGCAGCAGCAGCTCGACCACCCGCTCGTGGCCGTGGAAGGCGGCGCCCATCAGCAGCGTGACGCCGCTCACCTCACCTCTCTCGTACGTCGCGTCGGCCCGCCCGCCGCCCTCGAGCCACGCCAGCACCGCCTCCTCCTCGCCTCGCTCCGCCGCTAGCACGACCGCGTCGGAACAGCTCATGGATCCTCTGCACTCAGCTGAGCTGGGTTCCGGGCTCTTTGAAGGGGGGCAGTCATTCTTCTCGATAGAGGCTTGTATCTTAAGAATTCTTCTCGAGGTTCTCGAGGCCTCTACATACATACATCGAGGTGGATCTAGAATGCAGCGACAAAAGAAAAAATGGAATCAGCACACCCGCCTCTGCTTGCATACACTCATACAATGAACTGACATCTCCCATGAGTGAGCTCAGCATCGCTCGAGGTGGATATCCTTTGGCCGCGTTGGGTAGCGAGGATTGGTGTGACGCGATCCACGCAGGCGTGGTTTCTGGCGGCCGACCGTCAGTACACGGAGTGTATCGCGCGCCTTGCGGGGGGGGGGGCGCGGAAAAGAGGAACCTCTTGGTTGTGGAAGGCGGCGAACATCAGCGCGGTGTCGCCCTTGTTGGCCTGCAGGTTGATCTCCGCGCCGTGCCGGATCAGCGTGTGCACCACCCGCTCGTGGCCTTTGTAGGCGGCGTCCATCAGCGGTCGATGGCATGCTGGCCATCTGCAGGCCGCTGGCCGGGCGGCGGCGGCGGCAGCTGCGCCGGGCGGAGTTGCGGCGCGCGGGTACGGGGGGAGCTCCCGGCGGATACTCTACGTCTCAGTATTTGGTGGCGGCGGGGTGAGTGCCGCGAGGAACCACGAGCTACTAGTATAACTACAGCACACTGAGCTGTGTACTCTTCTCTGCATAGTATACTGACGTAGCAGGACTAACACTATCATCTAGATCGATCTACATCTAGGGGCGAAACCAGCTAAGAGCTAGAACACAGTGGGGCGCGCCTTGTGTCAGCACATACTACAACAACAACAAATCAATCAGTTAAGGGACGAGGCCGCTCTGCCCTTGGAGGTGGAGGACCACCGTCTTCGCGTCGGCGGCGATCCGAGGGTAGCGCGCCGTCGTGAAGGGGAGGGCCTCCCAGTAATCCCAGCACCGCGCGCGGTCGCCGCTGGGGCCGTCGGCGAGCTCGCGGCCGGGGAAGCCCACCCGGTCGAACTCGGGCCACGCAGCGCCCGCGAGCCAGCCACGCAGCGCCGCCTCGAGCTCGGCGTCGAGGCCGGCGTGGTCGGCGGCGCTGGGGCGGATCCACAGCATGCACTCGGCGTCGAAGCCCCGCTTGGTCGGCGGGTTGATGTAGCAGCAGCCCCGCACCACGCCCTCGTCGGCGGGGTCGAGCACCGTGTACGCGAAGGCGAGGCGGAGATCGAACTCGGCCTCGTGCCGGCGCAGGTCGAACAGGTCCTCCTCGCGCGTCATCCCGAAGAACGGCCACGCGTCGCGCCGCGCGAAGACGGACTGCAGCGGGCTCCCCTCCGGCGTCAGCCCGTCGAGCACAGCCTCGTAGTCGGGGTCGACGTGTGCCGCCCGCAACGGGCGCAGAAGCAGCCGCGCCGTGCGCAGCTCCGCCGGTGGCGCCGCCGCGAGCGGTGTGGCCGCGGCCGGCGCGACCTCCTCGTCCGGCCCCGCGAGTAGCTCGTGCAGCGGCGTGGCCAGCGTGGCGCCGGGCAGCGGCGACCACCTGTTCACAGCGAGAGGTGTGAAGAGACGCTGCTCACAGCCCCCCAGGCGAGCGAGGCGCCGCGCAGCACCCGTCCTTGCCGAGCAAGACGAGGCGCCGCCCCTCCTCCGGACCCGCCGCCGAGCTCTCCACGCGCCAGCCCGTCGACACGCGCCCCGCCGCGAAGCAGACGCTGCCGCCCGCGTCGCGGGTGTCGCGCGCGTACCCGAACCAGTCGCCGCAGACGACGAGGAGCTCGCCGTCGCCGCGCCGCGCCGCCAGCGAGGGCCCGCCGTCGAGCTTCGCCCACTCCTCGGTGTACTGCGCGGCGTCGGGCCAAGCGTGCTCAAGCCACACGCGTTCCTCCTCCTCCGGCGTGCTCAAGCCACACTCCATGGTGCCTGCGTCCTCCGTCGGGAGAGGCTTGCCCGACTCGGCGGCCCGCCAGCCGTCTGCACCCGCGCTGCCATCCAGGTTGAAGATGGCGTGCCAACGTATCACGCCGTCCTCCAGCGTGGACACCCCTGCAAACGCCTCCGCCGCCCGGTCGGTCACAGCGGCCGACACCTCGCTCGGATCGACCGCCTGTGCTGGCCAGGGCTGCCGTTTCTCGGCCACGCGGACATCGACAAAGGCGCTGGCGGTGCTGACGTAGCGCACCACGACCGAGGCATCCCTGGCACCAGGTGTGCTGCTTTTGAGCCCCGGGCGGGCGATCCACCGCCGCTCCCACACGACGTCGGCAAGCTCGGCAGGCGTGCACGGCCACGAAGAGGACATTCTGCCTGCTGGTGGAGCCGGAACAGCTGGGCGCGAGTGTCGCACGGCGTTTTTCTTGCCTTCCCATGGGAAGTCTCCGACGAGGGGGTGCGGTTTTGCGTGCGGTTTGCGACAAGGGACCATCGGTTTGTATTATTAACAACGAAGGCGCTAACAAAAATCTTTCGGCACGCGCGCGTGACAGGCTAATCGCGCGGAGCCGCCGTTGAGCAGGAGCCGCTGTTGAGCGCTGTTGAGCAGTCGTTGCTCTTACTCTGTGAAGGGCGACGCACAAGGAATAGTACGTGATATATACATATATGCCGAAGAGCGCTGCGGCCACCTCCGTAAGGAATACCTGTCCTGCTGGCGCGGTCGGCAAGGTGCTGGCCGAGCAACCAGAGGACCCGTGCACTGCCGTCGCGGTCGAGCTCATGCGTGGGACCGGCCTCGGGGAGAGAGCGGCCGCTCTCTCGGCCGTGCGAGCAGAGCAAGAGGACGGTCCTCATGAGGACGACTTAGCAGGTTGTCCTTCCAGCGTCGCTCCCTCCGCCACCCGCCACCACCGCCTCAGCCGTGCCTCCCCATCCCTCGCGCGCGACCCGGCCACCGGAGGCCTTCGCATCCCGATGCCTACTAACGGTCGAGCAGTTCTTCGGAGGCGTGCTGCACGCCAGGAGCTTGTCTATCCTACCCGCCCTCCTCACCGGCGACCCTTGTACTCTGAGCAGGCCTCGAGAAGCTCATCGGGCCGCCGCTGATGGAGGACGCCTCGCTCCTCAAGGCCATGGAGACGGAGCATTGCAAAGAGAAGGATGCGGACGTGCCGTTCGCCACCTCCAACGGCATCGAGGGCGCAACCTCCCACCGCGAGTGGGAGTTTGTCGTTGCGCCCGTGGTTGAGGACCAGGACAGCCGCTACGCCGAGCGCGGCGGCGACTTCCGCACGGCTCACCGCGAGTGGTGCCGTCGGGCGGAGCCGCTCTCGGTTTACGAGGCGAAGATGGCGCACGAGATGAACCCCAAGCTCGAGGAGGCTCACGTTGGAGGAGCTCGTCGCCGGCCGGCTGTACACGGGGCCGATGTACGAGAAGTACAACGGCGTCCTTCGCTTCTTCTCAGCGCGTGGCGCTGACGGCGCGGTGCGGCTGGAGTACGCCTCGGAGACGGAGGTGCCCTTTCTGCAAAAGAAGTGCGGCTGGCTTTGCCTCGGCGAGTGGGCTGCGACGGCGGCAGCTGCTCCAGCGCCCCCTGCTCCGGCGGCATGTTCGCCTTCTTTCGGCGGGGGAGTTAGCGCTCTCACAGCCGACAGGGTGCGCGCCGCCCACGCAGCCTGTCTCATTCCCGGCCTCCTCCCTTCCGCTTGGCGTTTTCCTCTCCTCATTCCTTGTCTTCCCTCCGCGCAGGTGCCTGCACGGTCTGCGCTGCGGCCCCTGGCTGGCCGCGCCAGCGCAAGCCCTGAGGGCTGGGAGGGCTGGCGAGAGAGGAGAGGAGAGAGAAAGGAGAGAGAGCGTGTCTAGTGTGTGTTTTACGTCTATTCGAGACCGCGCTGCGCGCGGTCCGCGGTGCCCCGCGCTGCGCGCGGTGCCGGTGGTACCCTCGGAACCCTCGGAACCCTCGGGATGGCGCCCGAGCGCGCTGCGCGCGCTCGCCGAACCCTCGACACCCGGCGCTGCGCGCCGGGCGCGCTGCGCGCGCATGTCGAAGGTTGGGGCCCGTGACGAACCTTGGAGCACTTGGAGTGCAGTCATTAACCGCTTATCCAGGGCCGGGGAGCTCAGAAGCGCACCCAGCGGGCCGGATGATTGGCATCGGGTTACGGGCTAGAGAGCCCTAGCCCCGGGGGTGCGCGTTCGCAGGGCAAGGGCCTTAAAGTAAACACGGGTCTCCGAGGGTTGGCCCCGCGTACCGGGTTTCCCCTTAACTGCAGGACGCCCCCTCTACTCGGAGCTCATGAACACCACACTGCACGCCTCACACGAAGGCTGAATTTTTCTCACAGCTCGAAGGAGGAGTCTGCGCAGCACTCTCTACTTCTCGCGGTCCTCCGCGGTCTTGCGAAGCATCGTGCGCGGCGCGGCCCTGCCGTGCGCGCGCACTTGCGCCTCTCAATGGGGACTTGCGGCTCAGCGCATGCGCTTGAGCATCAGAGCATGCGGGGTCACAGCTGGGCGCCTCTCCAAGCAAACGATGCAGTGCGCACGCGCTTCACCGTCGACTTGATTGCGCCACAGCTCGCCAACGCAGCTGAGCTGACGGGGCTCGCGCGTCTCACCGCACGCACGCCATGCGCATTCAGCGAGGAGATCGCGCGGATGACCTGGTTCTCGGTCACCCCACCACATGCTGCGACCGCGCTGCGGCTCAGCACGTGTGCGCCGCATGCACTCGAGTGGGTGTTCACACTTGTGCACGGCGAGTGCAACGCTGCGCAGCACTTGCTCAGCTGCAGCGGGACGCTCGACGCCGACGGCGCGCACGAGGCAGGGCCCTCCTCCCCGTGCACCGAGCGCCTCGTTACAAAGCTCCCTGCATCGCCCTTGTTCCTCGTGGCCTGGCCGCCCGCGCGCAACGCCACTTCAAAAGTGACGTTGCATGTGCAGTACGACGTGATCGACACGCAGCATATGCACATCGCCTCGGAGGCGGCCGCGCGAATCGGTCTCGGCGCAGCGCGCTCGCTGCCGAGTGAGTCCGTTGTCGGGGGCGCCGCGCTGCTGCTGTTCGTGCTGCTGTGTACTGCCGCGCAGTGCTGCGAGCGCCCCCTGCGCCGACGTTTGCTCGCATCAGCGTTTGTTGCGTGGATCTCGTTGCGCGTCGAGCGCGTGGGCGGGCTGCTCTTCGTCTCGGTGCCGCTCGTCGGCTTCCTGCGAGTCGACGTCGCTCTGCTGTCGCTGCTCTTCGAAGCCGTCTTGGGCGCGCTCCTGCACAAGTTGCACCGCCGCCTCGCGCTCACGCTCGCGCTCGTGGCGATACTCGTCGCGCGCTTCGCCCCGCTCACGTGGTACAGCACGCGTGGGGTGCTCGCTGAGTTGCCCAGCTTGGACGCCTCGGTGCACGAGATGGTGGAGATGCTGCCGGTGCGTACCATCGAGCAGTTGGCCGCGTCTGTGCTCGAAAGTCGGCCGTACTGGACTCTTGCGCACGTCGCTCATGGCCTCCCCATACTGCCTTACTTCAGCCTTGGCGTGAACAGCAACCATGCAGACGACGATGAGAGCGCGAGGCCGTTCTGGTCGCAAGCGTACGGCTTCCGCGCACTACCCGGCAATTTCGGTGGGCGTGCTCTCGGTGTGGACGGACGCGTGCACCGTGAGACGAGCCGTGCGTTCATGCGGGCTGCAACGTGGTTGCAAGCGCCGTTGCGCACGGCGCTTGCCGCGGCCGTCGGCGTCCCTCGCGAGCGCGTCGTCTTTGGCGGCGAGGGCGCCATTTCGCACCTACGCGCGCCGGCCGCGCAGATCTATTTGCCCAATGTGGTGTGGGCGATGCTGCTCAACCCACACACTGATGCGCTCCAGCGGCAGCAGCTCCAGCGCGTCGAGGGCGAGCCGTGCAACGGCTCGACGCGAACCGCCTTCCTGCTGCCGCTGCTCACGCCGCCGGGCACCGGCCTCAGCTGGTGGAAGGTCAGTGCGGATGGCGAGGTTGTCAGGCATCAGACGATGTACACGCGGGGGAGCCTCTACTCATGGCCGCTCACGCTCAAGCACGCACTCAAGCCGTGGCCGTATGCCGAATGGGATATCTCCGCCACACGCATGACGATGCAGGCCTTCGGCGTGCGATGTGGCGCGTCGTGGTACTTTTATCACTAAGTGTGAGAGATTTGATGCTGTCGTGCGGTGAGAGGCAAGGCCAGCCAGCTGCCAGCCGATCGTGGGTCGAACCCGCGACGGATAAACGTAAATTAGCGACGTTCGACCGGCGCGCAGCCGCGAGCCGGTGGGCGTAGCAGCCGGCACCGTCCACCACGGTGCGGAAATGAGAGGGGGGGCAAAATTCAGCCTCAAATGGCGGCCTTTTTGACAGTCGTCCCGGCTCCGGCCAAGCCCCAATCGGGTCCTTTCATACCAGATCTGGGCCGAGTGAAGCCTGAGTGAGTAGGCACACGCCACGGGTGAGCACCGGATTCTCTCGCGGCCACCACTCACTTCCGTGTAGGTCGCCGCCTGCTGGCGCAGCGCCCGGATGAGCGCGGCGAGACGGATATCTCGAGGATTGCGGGAACGCGTCAGGGGCGGCGACCCCCCCATCTACAGATGATGTGCGCATCCTAGATGCCAAACGCCATCTAGGATGCGTTTTCCATCTAAGGACACCGGGTGTCTCCACTATGATTGGGTTCTCCAAGAAGATTTAATCATCTTTAGATGGTGCCCCGGCCGCGTCTTTTGATAGCCCATGACATCTCAGATGCCGCGGACATCTTTAGATGCAAAATTTTCCTGAGATGATACGGGTGTGCTGAGATGCTCCTCGTATCCTAGATGCCGCTCCGCATGACCAGACTAGCGGTATCTCGCGCCCTGGTGAGCGCGACGACGCTCCCCCCTCTCACGACCTCTTGCGGGGAGCCGACACCCCTAATAACGCTGTTATTAACCTAATAATTAGCTTGTTATTAGCTACTCGCGTTATTAGGTACATGCTAATAATTAGGTACGTTATTAGGCTAATAGTTTGACAGGGGCAAGTAGTCTAGGGTACCATACTTCCGGGCGGTTGTGCGGGGAGCGAACCTTAACGACCGCCCAGAAGCTTTCTGAGCGAACCAATCGGGCCGGGATCATCAGCATATGTCCCCTCCACAACATCGTGGGCGTTTGAGCGGTATTTGAGGAGCACCGCGACTCTGAAGTTCGGCCGGGTGGTCTGCAGACCCCCCCCCCCCCCCCGGAGCAGCAGAGGCTCCGTGGGGTCAAAAAGTCGACGCTGGGAGTCGCACTCGTCAAGCCATCGCAGCACCACGCGGTTCGCACGTACCGCCCACATCCCCTCCACCGCTGAGAAGGCGCAGATCGACCGCCGGGCCGCGTAGTTGTCGTTAAGGAGCTGTTTTTGGAGCCGTACGAAGTGGTCCCAGACCGCAGACGGGCGAACATGCGGTTTTCCAGGCCCTCACGCCCCCCCGGCATGTCCACCGGCAAGGAGGCTTCCGTGCCGAGTGACGCGGCGGCCACGGACAGACTCAACGGCAGCGTCGGCGCCGCTGCCAAGCGGCCGCGCGACAGCGACTACCCTGCGACTACCCTCCAGACCCATCGCTTAGTTAGATCCATTCTTAATGCTAGCGCCGCAGCGCGCGAGAAATCGTAGGCAGATGCAGACATACACTCTCTACTCTGTGATTATGCCGAGAGCACCGTTTGTCGGGCTGGAGTCGATGGCGACCGGGGAGTGCAGTCGAACACGAATTTTCCCCACAGCCACCGATGCATCCCTTCGATTGCGCAGTATATTTCGAACTGCCGGAAAAGAAAAGCGGCGATTGGACTCAGCAGCAAATACTGCACCCGGGGCTTGTACAGACTCACCTGGGTCGCGGCAATATAGCGAATTGTCCACACTAGGTATGGCAAGATGATCGAAGCGAACATCATGAGGATCGGGAAAAGAGGCGCACGTTGGAACCTCTCGAACCAAGGTGACCCAGTCTCGGGGCTTCCAAGCCAAAAGCCGTAGTAAAGTAAAATCGGCGAGGTCGTCAACTTCAGTGTCCGGCGGGGCCAGCTTTCGAAGGGCATTTTCATCTTGATGTTCATCGGTAAAAGGCCGAAGAAGACCTCCACCCGAGGAACGTAGTACGAACGAGCCATCCAAGTCGAACTCACCATTCGCTCGAAGTCGGCATTAACCCAACGCTTCCGCTGCCGCAGCAAATCGGTCATATTGCCTGGGCAACGTTCTTGGAAAATCATATTCGGTGCAAGCGATCCTCTATGTCCGTAGAGGAAATACGCCCTGAACGAGGCATCGTAGTCTTCGCCCACGGTCCTATGGTCAAATCCGACCTTCCGCAAAACAGAAACGCGCCAAAGGCCCCCTCGTCCGGAGAATGGCACGTGACCAAACTTGTAAAATATCGGTGCATCGTTGGGCATGCAGTCCGAGTCGTACATGCAGGTCACTGCGCCAAAAGGGAAAACACCTTGTACGTCGCTCTTGGGGTTGACCATCCGCCCCTGCCAAAAGTCGAAAGTTGTTGACGAGGATAAGTGGCTAGCATAAATCAACGTTTGCGTCGAGAACAAGGTATCCGCATCGAGGAAAATAGCCCACTCCGTTCTGATTTGATCCAGCGCGAAGTTGCAATTGTCGCACTTCGTGGTGGAGCCTGTAACCTGGAAGTGTGTGAAGGTCGGCCACGTCTCTGCGAGTTGTGCCATCTCGGCAACCACATCTGGATGTTCTCGGGGAGAGTTCCAAGCCACTATCACGTGCAGGTCCGCTGGAAAATTGGTTGCGGCTTGCTTGTGGGACCTCAACACATCTATCAGAATGCTTTCCTCATTCGGCATATAACAAGGCATCACGATGGTCAGAGGTTTGCACCTGGGGAGCACGCCCTTGTCGGTCACCGCATCGTGGATGCCAGGCATAGGCTCCTCCCATGGCGGGCGATCTACCTCGACGACCTCGGAATCGTCATTTACGAACGCTCTGGCCGAAGGAATGCACATCTTAGCAACTCTTCGTAATATGAAACAGTGCATAACCACGTCCACCCTTCTGCCCCGACACCGACCGTCTTGCCCAAGCGCCGCCGCCTGATCTCTGTGAGCACGACCAAGAAGATGTTCCGCATCAAGCTGTTTTTCGACGGCCCTGATTCCAACGGCGTCCTGAAGCGATAAAGGTTGACCTCGACGGCCTTCTGAAGGCCATTCGCGACCACAGCAAGGTGCGCGCTCCTGGCGCGCAGACGCCCCGCGCCACTGCCATCAGCTCCACCATTGAGCCCCGACCGCACAGCCGCTCACACCCGCCCTCACTGCCACAATCCTCGCCTCTGCTACCCTCTGTCCCAGTCCGCTGCCGTTCTCTCCGCTGCCCTCGCTGACGTCGCCCTTCCTGCCAATGGCGCGCATGTGCAGCGGCAGAGTGCCATCGCCACCGCGCGGGGCGGCGACGCGGCGGCCGCGGCCCCCCCGCCTGCCCAGACAAGCGGCTCGCCCTCGGCGCTCGCGCCAGTCTATCGCTCGTGGGAAGGCGGCACCCCGAGGGAAGGGAGGCGGAGGTGCAGAGGGGGCGCGCTCCTCCTCCACTACTCTGTCTCTCTCTCTCTCTCTCTCGCGCGCGCGCGGTTGCGCTGCTCCCCGTGCACGATGCCGTGCTTCATAATTTATGATCATCATTTATTATTTTATATATTTATATTTATTCCGCCGCCGCCGCCGCGCGCTGGGATGTGCGTGTTTGTTATGAGATGATTTGAATATTGAAAACAACAAACAAATTAAAGATGCGTCACCATCTAGCATTTGGGATGCCTTCTTAGAAGTAGATGCACCCCATCGTTGAGATGCATGCTCATCCTCGAAGTACGAAGATGGCCTAAGGATGCCTTCCTCTCTCGAGCATGATCGAGCATCTCAAATTGATTTCAGCATCTGGAGATGCTCGATTAACGTGGCTCACCATCGCGATCGGCGTGAGATGAAAAGTTATTGCTAGCCATCACCCGCCCTCGGGCGTCTACCTCTTCCTATCTCTCTTTGCAGTCTCTCGCCAATTCTCGCTGTGACCTTTATGCCTCCTCGCGGTCTTCTCATTCTCGTCGTTGTCACTCCTGCCGCTTCATCCTCTGACTCATCGCTCTCCTCGGTTAACCTGCCCTACCTTAGGTTTCCGTCGAGTGACGAGTCTCGTCCGAGACGTCTAGTCTCATCCCGCCTCGTGGCATACCTAGCACCTTCACCACATGCTAGGGGGGGGGTCGTGGCCGAGGACCCCCCAGAGACTCGTGGTCAGACCCTCCGGGCCCTTGATTTTACGCCTCATTTCGCAGCATTTTCGAGGGGAAAATCATCTTTTGGAGCTACATGAGCCTTGAGACTGGTCAGATTCTCCAAGATATTGGTCTTTCAGCCACGATTTCACAATTTTGGGGGCAAAATCGGCTCTCTGGCGGCTATTCCTAGCCCACGAACTGCTGGGGGGTGCCCACCACATGCTGGGGGGGGGGTCCGACCCCCCCAGAGGCTTCACCACATGCTAGGGGGGGGGGGCGTGGAGAGAAGCGCGCCCCCCTCCCTGGAAGCGATGTGCGCCTGCTCTTGACGCATGGGATCACTCCCGCGAAGCTCGTGAACTAGCCGGGGCAGTCGGAGAAGGGGCAACTCCGTGCACTGACGGTCGGCCGTCAGAAATCACGCCTGCGTGGATCGCGTCACACCAATCCTCGCTACCCAACGCGGCCAAAGGATATCCACCTCGAGAACCTCGAGAACCCGAAAGAATCATACCTCTAGACAAAAGGGGAAAAGGAAGTTGGGCCGGGGACTCGACCTGCGCAAGGGGAATGGGGAAAAGGAAGTGGGCCGATCCGGGAATTGAACCCGGGACCTCCTCGACCCTAACGAGGAATCATCCCCCTAGACCAATCGGCCAGACAACTTCGCGGATACGTACGTCCTCTGCCACCAGGCTGTATATACTCACCTACGTCCACTGTCCCCGGTCATCTCACGCGATGGGGGCATGCACCTCGTGCAGAGCGACCGCCGACGAGTCCGTAATCATGGACCCTGCAGCTCAGGTGGTCCAGCAGGCAGCAGAGGAAGGCCTTGCCCTGATTCCCAGCTTGTCCGACGTCTCGCAGTTCCAGAATGTGGGAAAGTGTAAGTTCTCCGATCACTTCACTGCCACTGTCAAGCGTGATGGAAAGACAGTGTCTCTCGGC